TTATTGTGATCATTTTTTAATCTTAGGATATAAGAGGCAATGACTCAGAGTACAACTCACTACAACTGCTGTGGGACAAAACCTTTTACCTTCATGTAGTATTTTGATAAAGTAGAATCTTATTGGTGTTTCAGCTAAAATCAAGTAAACAGTCAATGTACCTAATCAGTGATTATTACCACATTTAAAATGGTCTAACTGACCAACTTGTTCTCTCTCAAGTGTCATTTTTAAAATTAGGAACCTTATTAGGGCCCAAACAAAATAGAGGACAGATCAGTGGCTTCAGTAAAGTGTTAACCCTGTTAGAGGGACATTTCTCAGTTTTAACATTAGCTGCTGCATTTTGTTACCAAGATGCTCCTGTTCTGTTAATGAAAAATAGATTTTATATCAAAACCAGGTCTTTTGAAGAAGCTTTATTATGATTTATCTTCATTGTAGTTTTAATCTGTGTAATGTAGAGATTCCCCAAGTCACAGTTAAAATTTTGTTGGTGGCCAAGTTGTGACATTTAAATAACTTTAACTTTGCTTTTCTGTTCACACCGGCTATTCGATCCCAAACCTGTTTTAACGCCTGCAGGACGAAGCTTAGTTACGCGATTCTCCTGCACTAACTTTCCAAAGTAACTTATCCATGTTTCTTTGGCTGAAATGTTGCTTATATCATTAATATTTATCTGAAATGCACAAGGGAAATCATTAAATAAGTAAACTATCTTACAAAAAACAAGGCCTGGGCATTAACGTCGCATATACTGTAGGACATTTGGCAACTAGTCTCAAAGGAAAAGTCTGAACGTCTTAAGGCCGTGACACTAACAGCTGCTTTACTTAAAGTACAAAACCGGCCTCCACACACACACACTGAGGACCGGACAAGTGATTTTTGATTGGACTTGTAAAAATGTCTGTCACATAACAGATCAAATGATTTTCTAGATGTTTCTGATCATCACTTCTCTGACCCCCGGTGTGTGTCACGCACATCACTGACAACACGCACGGTTACACAGTTCCTCACAGGCTTGAACATTCAGCTTCACGCGCTTGTTATCGCATCAGCTACACGATTGTATTCGTCAACCTGCAGGTTAAATATAAACAGGGTGAGGAGGGAGATGAGACGGACGCGCCTCAGTCATCATACACACACTGCTGTCACACAAAATAAGAAACATTGGTGATCCCTGTAGGATGATATTTGCCGGGAGCCACAATGCATTCTGGTCCAGTAGAGGAAAAAGTAATAAGTAGTTGTAGTAGAAAAAATCTATTAAATCTTTAACTAAAAAATACAACATGCATATTAAATACATTTGTTAATAGGTTTTATATGCTCAACAGGACAGTTTAGAGACAGACGATGTGGAAACTAAAATTAAATGGAGAAAACATATAAATGAATAAATAATTTGTCACATGACGACTAACTGTACAGTAGCAATGAGAGTTTTGTGTATTTCAGCTTGTTATGCTGATCACCTGCTAACACAAGTTAGACTTTTAGCTCATGGGACTGGTTGACATTTAGTAATTACAAGTTATCACAGGGTTATATTTGTAGTTATGCATGAATGTTAGTTTATAGCATTGAGCCACAGCTAACAGAGGTCACAGATCCGGTGCCATCGAGCTGCTCTGTGCAGGGCAGCGCTGTCTTTAGAAATGTTCTGAAGCCAACCAAAAAAAAAAAATCTGACAAAATAAATATGTGCTGTGGTGGTAGGTGAAAAGTGCACATGAGCAAAATCAGAACATTAACTGTGTTTCTGAATAGTTTTCAACCAGTCAAATTGTGCATTTAGGGCTGTAATCAGCAATTAAAGAGCTAAGCTAGGATTCAGTCCACAAAGCCTCTCGGACTGGGACGTGCAAGGCCCGGGGTCCGGATGAAGGCAGCCGAGTTAGCACCAGCACCATGTTAAGTGTTCACACTTGTTTACACTACAGCTGGATCACAGTGGATCAGTGTTGACTCTCTGTGGGGTGTCTGCAAACAAATTAATTTTGTTAAATCTAGTTATTTAATGCATTATTTTGATAGATATCTCACGATTATTAGTGTTTATAGTTGTACAATACAAGATAAGTACTGACAAATTAAGGCTAGAAGTGTGTCAGATGCAGGACTGTCTTAAGCTGATCAGTAGACAACATGTATTTTTAAAGAAGATGTCCTGCGTGGTTTGCCATAATAATAAAGCCATGTGGTTGGTAAAACCAATGTAATTCTGAGAACTAACATTTGCTGTAACTTCTGCTCCCCACTCTTTGCTGCAGTGCCAAAGGGCCGGGCTGCCCACCCCCCTCAGCTGCCTTAGTCCATCACGTGACCACCCTCTAGCGACCCCCCGCATCTCTCCCCTTAGATTCCAAGGGCTTGGAAGCCGGTATGCACACCACTGGTTAAAAGTGTAAGCAGGTTGCCTCCAATTAATAACCCTAGACAGCACAAAGCTAAGAAGCAGACTGTTAGAGGTTTCACAGAAAAGTAACCAAACAATTAAAATGCGTGTAAACTTGATCTAAAGCAGGCGACTCCAACGTACTGCTGCTCGGCAACGTTTGTGCCAACTAAACCCAGCTCACCCCCTGAACACAGGCTTCACTACAACAGACTGACGCACTAATCACAATGCTCCAATGACTGCTGCTAGGTAGCAACACCGTCATAACCTCTGGTGCTGGACTCGAAGGGCGCGAACGGTGTACAGCCGCTACATAGTCAATGGGTTCACAACATGGCAAAAGTAGAACAATGAACAGGGACGACGGCTTTTGAACATGGAGGCCGAGAAACTGACAGATTGTCTGTTTGCAATAGTGCTGCAACTAGTGATTATAATTTTATCATCGATGAATCTGTTGATATTCGCCATTGTTGGCTAAAATGTCAGAAAATAGTGAAAAATTCCCAAAGCCTGTGGTTGTCATTTTGTTCAGTGAACAGCCCAAAACCCCAGCAATTTAGTGTCATAGGGAGAAAAATGATCATATTTGTAATGTTAAAAAATAATCAGTTATGAAAATAGTTGCCAATCATTTTTCTCAGTCATCTATTGATTAATAGACCAATTGTTTCTATTACAGCTCGTTTGTAACAGTAAATAACTGATCGTTTTCAAATTTGTTCAAAACCTTCGAAGTGCTTCACATAAATTTGTTGCTATACAAAAATACATTTCGGAAGGAGGAAATAAACTTGGACTCATTATCAAGTAATCCCTTACATCTTTTTAGTTTAGAGGTTCAAAGGCTGAACGTTGTGTCGGATCTCTCGAGTCATAGGCGTCCACAGTTCCTGATCCACTACTCATCCGCTGCCGGGATAATGTGGCCTTAACCGACTTAAAGTTCTAATATAAGAGTCACAATGATTTGTTTATACTGAGGGAAATGTTAAGAACATTTCAGGTCAGTCTACTGCATGCGGTGTTAATAACTGGAACAACAAACTCTGTACTTCTTCAGTAAGCTACCCTACATCTACAGTGACTCTTATAGGTTGCGAACAAGCTCCATTTTTCTTTCAGGCCTTCTAGATTCTAGTTTGAACACCCTGTGTTTTCACAGGGAAAAAAGAATCCAGTGCAATTTAAATTAGAGAGAATATTCAAGTTAAATTCAGCACACAGGCTTTTGGCACTTTTAGTGGAAAATGGGAAACTACAGGTATGGAAAAAAGTATATGACAAACAAAACATCAAAATATAATTATGTACATAGAAATAATGATTTGATCTTTTGGAAATACTCCAGTTTTATCTTCAAGAATTTTGCACTATCATCGCTTCTTCCTAATACTACACGTTAAGATCGACTTTTCTTTTCAGGCTTTTCTGCTACAACACTGGCCTTAGATGACGTGTTCATGGTGAGTAAAGTAACCTTCCTCACTTCTCTGACAGTCTGAAGTTGCCCTGAGGAAATGATCTCAGATCAGTGGCTCCCATTAGTAACCTCAAAAGGGAACTAGTGCAATACTGACAGGTTTCCACTTGCAAGACGCCGCAGGCCTCGTTTTAAAGGGCGAAGAGCTTAGTGAGCAACACCGTGTGGCACTTTGGGAAAGTTCTTGGCCTGAGCAAGTCGACTTTCCTTTTGATAAGGTTTGCATTCTTGATGGATATTTAGTTTTGGTTCAGATTTGCCATTTCTTAGCAGTTTCATTCAGCGTGACCCAAACCAAACCTCTGAACTCTCCACTGGTCAAAGCAGAGGCATCTACATTTTGGCCTCATCTAGCTTTGTTTGTTCTGATGTGAAATATTCATTATATTAAACAATAATGACCCTTCGGCCAAACAGTGAAGGAGCAGAGTTTTTACCTTTAAATATTTAATGTTGCTAAAATTCACCAGCTACTGAGAACATTTCAGAAGTGATCCTTGATCAGACTCTCTGGGCAACTTCCTCCAATTCTAGGCATCTGTTTAATGTCAAAGCTCCCGTGTGCATTTACTTTATAATAACAACCATTTTGTGTCCCCATAGATGGACTGAAATTCAGCCAGGGATGCAAAGTGGTTCAAGTTGGACCGAACCTTTTCATCTCAGTAAATACGTGGTGCTGAACGGTCGTTGGTCATCGTCTTCTTGAGCTTCACGCCTCGTCGGATTGCCACCAGAAAGTCTTCCACCTCGCCATATTCCGTCTCCTCCAGGAGCTCGGGGAGTGGACGGCGCTCCCACTCTATCATCCGACCGCTGGGCTGTGGTGGTGGGGTAGGGGGATTGGATCCCTTGCACAGATGCTGGGTGTCCCAGGGGCCTGACTTCGGTGACAAAGGAAGGCTGCTGCCTGGTGACAAAGGAGTGGTTGGGGGGCTGAGTGGGGTCCGTGGTGTACTGCCGGGGAAACCGGGCTGTTCAGGCACAGTGGGGGTCTTGACTGGGATCATGGGGGGCTTGATGGGAATGGGGCCCAGGCTGAGTCCTCCGGAGGGCCTCCGCAGGTTGGGTTTGGAGGACGGTGTCCGTCGGATGGTGGCGACACCCGGCGTGATTACAGCAGAGGGGTTGGAGGGCAGGCCAGCAGTGGAAGCAGGGCGCTTGGACTGGAACATACGACGATAGGACTGAGCGATATCGCTGTTCCTGGGGATGGTGGAGGATTTATCGGGTGACTGCTGCTGCTCACCTTCCTGATCCACTCCCACAGAGCAGCAGTCACAGTCTGATACTGAGAAGAACAGAAAACGTCTTTATCCTGCTGCTCTTAGTAGGATAACATTATATATTAGTACATATAACAGAGTATTCTGTGAGTGGACCAGTTTTTCACAGTGGAAACTGTGTTTTTCTGATTTGATGTGATGATTTTAAAGGATAAGTTCTGTTATTTGTTAGTTCAGAGAGAGTAAGTAAGGTGGTTAGGTATGTTCGTGCAAATTCTCAGTCATCCAGGTTGTAGTATGCTGAAAAACGTAGAAGAACTCATCTGGATGTAGTTTTAGGTAGAAGACGTTTCACCTCTCTACACTGTAGTCAGGAGCGTAATGACCTGTACTTCGGTGAAACAAAATAGCTGCTGCACAAACACACAGCCCAACACAGGAGGGCCAACCAAATAGAACACCCCTCACTAAATAGGGGTGGTGGACTAAGACATCTTGTCACCCATCTACAACTCTGTTTTGAAATCTCTACCCAAACATTTCCACCCTAATTAACACAAGACAATAGGCGTTGGTCCACATGGGAGGGTTCAAAGACAGGTAACGACTCTCACTGATACTGGACCCTAATGACTCAGTTGTTAAGGGACATCGTTGGCCATCGAAGGACTGAAACACCATCCAGGGGGATAAATATCTCCTGCTCACCACCAGTTGGACAGAACTGATGAAGCCTTTTGGATGAGAAATGTCTTCTAGCAAAAACTACGTCCAGATGGTTTTTTCAGCAGGTAGTGAAGTACATAGTTAGTTGGTAGTTTGTTTGGTATTACTTGGTTAGTTAGGCGGTAATGTCACCTTTGGGGTTTGTGTAAATGTCGGTCCTATGAAGTTTGATAGTGTTCCAACCACATTCCGAGCTCTGCTCAGTTTGTGACTCAGCATTTGAAAGTGCGCCGACAGATTTGTAAATACAGATCTGAGAGCATAATCTCAACCATGTGTGCACTCGTTTCTGATTCTGCACTGTCAGATTTCTCCACTGGGGTTTGTGTGAAAGTCTGTCGGCGCCAAAAGATTTTGAAGAGCACTCTCAACTTGTTTTGTGCATTTACAAAACTTTTGGCATGGACAGACTTTCACAAATGCGTTGGCTGGGTTTTACTTCCATAGATAGCAGTCAACAGCAGGTTTAGGTAATCAGACCAGTACACAGTAATCAGATCAGTAACAAAAAGGAAAACAACCCTGCCAAAACATTTGAGGGTGCACAAACCACATTTTGAGCACTACTCAGTATTTGAGAACATAATCCAGGCCATACATGCACTCATTTCTCTGTCTGCACTATTACATTTCTCCACTGGGGTGGGTCTGAAAGTCTTTGTGTGGAAGTAGATCTCCGCCATAACATTTGAGAGCATTCTAACCACATTTCGAGCACCACTCAGTTTGCAAATCGGCAACTGTAAGCACAGGGTCAGATCTGAAAGTGTAATCTCACTCGTGCACGCGCTTGTATCTCAGTCTGCGAGTAGAGTAGCGCTCTAAATGTGGTTTGTACTCCCTCAAACAGGGGATTTACTTCTACAGGTAGAGCTGACACTGGCGGACAGGTGAGAGGGATATTACAGTTGTCTAACACGTTCTCTGTTGCCAGTATGATTCAGGAGATGTATTTCCATAACTTAGTATTCAAACTAACCAAAGGAAAAAATGTAGTGGAAAACATTCAGTGACATTTCAATAAAGTGATGGAAGTGTGACAAGTGTGTGCACCTTGTGAGGGGATGGTGTCCTCTGTGTGTGGGTCTGGCTGCTTTAGCCGCTGGAGCCCTGCAGCGAGTCTCTACTGGAGCCGTGGATGTCTAGATGGAGGCCTCGGGCCAGTGCTCTGGCCAGCTCCTCGTGAGCCTCCCTGTCCTCCTGCCAGGGTCATCACACAGGCGCATTCACCATTACCTTGGTTTGTTTAGGTTGACGGTTTATTATTATACTTGTACATGTGTAATGAAAATGACAAAGTTGAATCTAATCTAATCAAAATCAACATGTTGCGTCACTAGAAGAACTTCTTGAGAGACGTATTCAGAAAACTCTGTCCAATCCAGAAACTGCCAGTGATTTGTTTACAAGGCTTGTCTGGCTTCTGATTGGTCACTGTGCCTAAATAACACAAGATATTGTATATTTTTTTAAATCCCTGTCTGACCTTGGGTGATGTCAGAGAGCGGCTCCCTTTAATCCCCTGTGGCTCCTCCCCTGGTGTGGTGGCATCAGCACCCTGGTGGCTGCTGGGATCTGTATGCTCTCTCCTGTCCTTGCACCTCCTCAGGGTGTTGACCACCGGCTGGTCGTATGGGCCCGGTTTGGCCCAGTCCTGCACAAAAACACACAATCTGAAACACTTCTCTCAGTCACAACTTGATTTAAATTCATTTAAAGTCACTTTTTTACTTTTTCACTGTTGATAACCAAATTTGGGGCAGTCTGGATACTGTAAATGTTTAAAGGAAGTCTATTTAGAATTGTCAATTTATTGTAACAAATTTTATAAATGTTTTAGATTAATTTTCTGTCAGTTTGACTTGTTTTACAGACCACACCTCACTCACTGAAACTGTTACTGATGTAACAGCTGGTTTAAGGAAGCAGCTTGAACCTGACCCGCAGCCAAAACAAAACAGAAGTTAAATGATGAAGACAAAAATTGTGGCCAGTGTTATTACAGTGGTAGAGTTGGCTGAGGGATAAGCATGGCTTTCTGTAAAGAGTCTGCTAGTAAATGATGACAAACTGATGTGGAGATGAAACACAAACTGGTGGAATTTGATGCTGTAGTGAAAAGCCAATTCAAAAGAAGGACAATTCTAAATCCAAAGACAGGTGAAAGAAGGATAAATGGGAGGAAAGGAGTAGGACACTGGGCAGAGTGAGGATCAAACCTTCCAGGACGGGATTCTGGATGACGGGATCACGCCGAGCCCCGAGGGGCTGAGAGGAGGGAAGTCTGCTGCTTGGCTGAAGACTGAACAAGACCACGGCCACATGGGAGAGACAGACGAATAGGAGGGCGAGGAGATGGGGGAGGTGGTGGAGTGGGTGAAGTATGGAGGGTGGAGGTGGTTTTCCTGGGCCTGCAGTACTGCTCCTTGCAGACAGAGGGCAGCGTGAAGGTCAAAACCATTTGACAACTGTAGATGAATGGATGAGGAAGAGGCAGAAAACAATTGCAAAATTAATGACGATGGTTATGACTGAGGACGTGGGAACACAATGCACAGTAGTAGAAGGTGCTACATGCAGCAGGAGCTCAGTGAACTCGTGCACCTGTGGTGGAAGAAGTACTCATTCTTTACTGAAGTAAAAGCAGTCACACTATTTTGACAACAAATCAGAGATTCTAAAAGGTCCATGTAGCACCTTCTGACACAAGGTGACAAAAACCAGTCAGATAAGTGTGTGACAAACGGCTCCTACAGGTAGGGGTGTGTGTGTGTGTTTTCATATGTAGTTGTTCACCTGTTGTAGCCCATAGCAGGAGACATTGTGTGAGGGTGAGGAGGAGGAGGAAGGATCCTCGGTGACAGACTGAGAAACTACAGCAGGGACACACGACTGCAGCAGAGCCATGCAGAGCGCACACACAGAAACAGTTTGAAGGATGCAAAAGACAAAAACACAGTAAAGAGCAGAGGAAGCGTGTTATGACAGGTCCAGCTCTGATCACTAAACACATGAACAAGTAAAGGTGTGAATCACAAACAGAACAAGGAGCTGCAGCCGCACAAAGACTTTGATGAAGCAGAAGGAGGTTGAGCAGGACTGAATATATCGATTTAATCGTTTACAATTACCGTGATATATTAAAATCTAGCATAAATAATTTAAAAAACTGAATTTGTAAGTTGCCTTTAAACAAACACTCATCACAAGTACAGTTAAATGTGTATCATTCTAAGCAGTCAAAAGCTACATAAACTAAGTTTAATCATGTTCTCAAACAGCAATAACTGAAACTACAGTCAAAGCCAGTGAGTGAAATAACCAGTTCTGAGCACTGTCAGCTGCCATGACAGGAAACGGGTCAACAAATAAGGCTGAAGCTAAAATGAGTGTTTCCCTCGCTCAGGAGGATTACATTTTTCAACCCAGTTTTCCAGGCCTGTCACAATGCCCTTGAGAACAATGAGTTCTCCTGGAAAATGTTTTCAATATGCAGCCAAACGGTGTCACTGGCCCCATGAATGACTTTCTTTTTAGACTCTGTGACAATCTGCAGCTGAAACTCAGGCTTTGTTTTAGGTCAAATTCAAATCACACGGGAGGCATTTTGAACACCTGAACCCTGAGAGCTCCTGAACATTCCCCGTACCTGCACCTCACCAACAGCTAACCTAATAATGAAAAGCCTAGCATAAGCAAAGTTGCAACAGAACCCCTAATTTTTTTTTTTTTACATCTTCAAAGAAAATTGCCAAATCTGGTTCCAACTTCTCAGATTTGAAGATTTGGTGCCCGTCTTCGATCTATATTATTATAAATGAAATGTCTTTGGGTTTTGGACAGTTGGTTGGACAAAACAAGACATCTGTCAACAAGGTATAAGCGAGCATGGAGTGTGGCTGTGGTAGATGAGCAGCGGCCTCGAGCTAGTCAACCTGGGGAGAATTCATGGTCTTATACCGCTGATGAAAGGAGAGTGGATCAGAATATAATGAAGAGGAAAGTGTGTGTGTACAACACTGTCTTAGTTCCAGTGGTCTCCAGACAATTAAAACATATTCAGCCTCAGAATTGTCTGTCAGCGCTTCACTCTCTGCACACACTTTCTTACCTGTGAGGTTTCTGGCGGCATTGGTGACGGTGATTTGGACTGGAAGGCGTCCTGGGAGATAAAGCCCGAGTCGTGCGAAGAGACAGAGGAGAGGCGGGCAGGTGTCTGCTGGGGCAGCACTGAGGACGAGGAGGAGGAGGAGGCGCGATAACGGAAATGGGTGGTGGGGGAGTGGCAGTGTGAGCCGCTGGAGCGCGAGTCGCTGCTGTTCACACTGTTCAGGCTGCTGTGGGACACAAACGACAGAGATGAGATGTCAACAAGAAGGATTTTCTTTGGTCAACCCGAGTCAAATTTTCAGAACACTTGACTCTGAAGGAGAAGCTACTGAAGCTGAGTTGAGTGATTTTGATACGATGGCCTCTCTGAATTCTAAACCTTTTCAATTAAAACAACTCACAAAAGTTAGAAATGAAGCATAATTATGCAGCTGCATGAAAACGTGTTATCGTCTAAATCTTATCACTATTACAGATCATACAGGTGGTCACTGCTGACTGGATAAAACATTACAATTGAAGAAGTTAACTGCATGAAAATGTGTTTTTCCTGTGTGAATCTCAGAAGAACGGCTATAAACCAAGTTGATACATATTTTCTTATTCCAGACCACAATGACTTTTCCATGACTAGTTCTTAGAAACTGGACCAACACTTTGACCCACAGGATCCTTTGCCACAACAAACCTAGAGTCCTAAAGTCAGAGCTGCGACTCCTCCCTCCTCCTAAATATGAACACACCTGAAGACGATGGTGGTTAAGGATTCAGCTACAGGTTGAGACTTTGTTCATTGTTTAATAAAAGCTGCAGTTCCACATCTGCACCACCAGGAGGCGGCATGGTACAGGCAGGATAAAAGACTTTGGAGTCAGGTTTGTGGGGCCATGCTAACCAACCTGCACATGCTGGACTTCCTGGATACTGTTGTGCTCGGTGACGAGGGTGGAGTTTGGTAGGACCAGGTGCACTCAGACCCCTTCAGATCTACGATAACCTGGATACAAAGGAGGAGGAAACAGTTCAGGGATCAGAGAGGCTGCTGTCAGAGATAGTACACAAGAACTGAATTGCTCTGGCGAAGAGGGACCTGAGCCCACATACCACTGGTTGATGTTTCACCCCTATAACCTGTTGCTATTGGTTCTAGATGATGGGTTTTCTTCATAAGAGCTCAGCTGGTTCACGTATTTGATAAGGATTCAGGAAGTCTCCCAGTGAAGGTATTCTGGGCAGGCAGCGAGTACAGGGACTAGTCCCTGCTTGTCAACCTTACTTGAACTTAACATTTAATCTTTAGATTGAGTCACTTTCAAGTAAAAGAAATAAGGTCAATACTTGCAAATGTGCACATTTGATGCTTTTGTTTGTCACATGATCATTAAGTGAATCTCTGGGTTTTGAATTGTTGGTCAAATACAACAAGCAACTTGAATACATCACTATGGGCTCTACAACAGCTTTTTGCTATTTTAGAGACAAAACAATTAAGTGACTAATCAAGAAAATAATCTGCAAATTTAATGATAATGAAAACAATAATCTGTTCCAAGCCCACTTTACAAAGAAGTTAAATGCTTGTTGCATTGGGAAACTGTTTTTGTCTTCATTTCATGGTATATTGAACTCAACAACTAAAAGCAGGAAGCTGCTGAAAGGATGAAAACAAGCCTTTAAATAAAAGTGTGATGCTTTGGAAAAAGGTTCCTTGTGAGGCGACTGAGGTTAACATATAAAACCAGGTACAGCGCATGTGTCTGCCAGAAGTCGTCAGTGTTCGACCTTGCAGTTGGTGTAGTATGCTACTGTCATTACCGACATATCTGCTGCCACGAAAAGAAAATCTTTATGAAGGGTGCTTCATAAACCTCTGGGAACTGCACTACTTGAAAACAAAAGCCAACACTTTCTAACACAGACCTTGGTGCTACCAGAGGAGCCTGTGCTCAGACAGCAGTACCTGCTCACTGGAGGCGGGCAGCTTGTGTGGGTCCATGGTTAGTGCCTTCAAGTCGTCTGTCAGAGTCTGGAGGTGAGTGATCTCCCCCAGCATGGACATCTCCTCCTCCTGACACACACAAACATCAACAGACTCCAGAGTCTACAACATGCTGATTCAGCCACAGCAGCACTGCACATTACAGACAGGGATCATGAGGTAGAAGTGGATTTTTTAAAAGACTCTCAACCTGACCACAGCTGCTGACCCGCAGTGTGGAAAAAGGTCGACTGTTGGCGGAGCGTTACTTCTAACAGTTACAGCCCACTGCCGTGACAGCTGCTGGTTTTTTGGCAGTAGGCAACGGCACTCCCCAAGCCTGTGATTTCCCTTATTCCTCTCTTTCCCCTCTGTGGTTTGGATATGCAAAGAGTTTGGATGTGTCACTGACCACAACAGGCCTCAGCATGGAGACGAACCAACAGAAGCGACTCCTCTCCTCCACCAGCGCTTTCCTCACCGCCTGCTTCTCCGTCTCCTCCAGCAGCAGGTACTTATCGCTGACATCCTGCATGGCGCTGTCCAACTGTGGCTGGAGGTCCCCACGACCTGGACACACAGAGACATACACATTTAGAATGACATCACAACCAGTAAACCACATTAAGATGGTGTTTCCTCTCCAGAACAGGCCAGTGGCATCCAAACACAACACTCCAGTCCAGATGTTGGTAGAGGGGGTATTAATTATCTGACAGCCCTGATAAAATGGTTTACACTGCTGATATCACCACCACAGTGTTGGATGGGTGGTGCCAAACTTTAACTATCACACCAGCTCTGTAATATTCTGTGGGGCTGAGGGCTCCTTCATCACCATGAACACACACACTGCAGTTTATCCTGCTGCACAAATGCTCACTAGAGTCCAAATAAGGAGTCATCTGCCACTGAAAATAGTCCCCAATAGATGCACTACTTATTTATTTTGGCACGTTAGATAAAAACTACAGTGGTTTAATTCTGAACAAATGAAACTATATGTGTGTTTTTAAAAATTTACATCAATGAAGTGAAGAGGCTCAGACAGAAGGGATGTCCACAGGATCCCAGCTCACCTTCTGTACTCCAGGACAGACATAAACATGCAATTAAAGTCCTTCATTCCTCCAGCAAGATCCAGAGCTGGGTTATGCGGTCGGGCTCGTAGACGGGGGAGAGCACCGTCTCCTGCTAACTGAACTTTTCCAGGCAAAGGCAACACAGAGGAAAGACAGCCGCTTTACGAAACCGGAATGTAATTTCTGGTTTCCCACAAAATCCAAAAAACATGACACAGAGGGCAGGAGATCGCTCTCGTGTCCTCTGTGTCTTTTCCTTATTCTCTGTATCTCGTCTGTCCAACTCTAGGTGCGTTTCATTTCCCTTCAGTCTCTCTCTCTCTCAGTACGTGAGCTTACACACAGTAAGCATCTGGTTACTGGTGGTAAATCCACACCTTCATAAGATCTGTTCCCCACCCAAACCCTAATTTGGAACCACTACTGGATTATTTTGTTTTTTAATACAATGCTGCTAATAACGTTGCTCCATGTGGTTTTAACTTCTTCTAATAACGATGACTCAGTTTATTAGATCAATATTTTAGGTGTATCTATTTAAAAGCTCTGCATTAGGCCTTCCAATATTTGGAATGAGTAGTGAAAAATAAGGTTTGATTACAACCTGTTATCTTGCTAATTACATATTTAATCACCTCAGCTGACAGCTTTGCCTTTTAGTTATCAATTAAGTTATCTGTAAATGCTGAAAACTAACATTAGTGCTAACAAGATCTTAGAAATGATCCAATTCAATAAGTAAGTTGGATTTGAACAATATAAAATGGTAGTGAACCAAACTCCAGCAGAAAGACAGTGAGAGAAAGCCCACAGTTTGTGACTGAATCTTACAGATTTTATAGAACCTCACTGCCATCTCTAATACAGTTAAAACACACGTATTTAGGATTATATATTTTGGATGTGATGTTTCAACACTGCGCAGTTCATCAATCATCTTGATTCACCCTCCACTTGGCTGTTACAGCTTCTCTGTCATTTTAGAAACACACAACCAAAGAAACTGGCTCTCACACCAGATTTCTCCTGCTCCAGTTACAGACGAGGTTTTTCACATGATATTTAAGAGCTCAGCTCACTGCAGAGAGCCAACTATAACCCACAACTTAACAGCCATTAAAAAGAAAATTCTTAATAGATGTTCTCTGATCGCTCCCTCCACCTTCAATCACATGCTCCAAAGGAAGTTGGTGTGTCCCTTCTTCTCCTGTCTTCCTTCTATCTCTGTCATTAAATTCAATCTCCGTCTTTTTAACGCTCTCTCTCTCTCATTTCATTATTTTCATTCTAACACAACTTCCTCCTCCAGTTCTCTGAAACTCGTCCACCCTCTCTCATCCCTCCTGACATCCACACCGCTGCACAGGGAGTTTCCTCTCGTGCAGTAATAAAAGGCTGGGAGGGCCCGAGGACTGGAGTGGCCCGGCCACATCTGAGGTTCCTCAGGGGTCAATCCTGGGTCCTGTTTCTTTTGTCTTAGTCGCTCCTTTCAGAGCTGGAAGCCATCGAGTCCTTTGCTGGCAGCAACAACAAGCTCTTGTTTCCAGTAATAATAAGGCTGGTTTTTGTACCAGGAGTCAGCCTGAAACTACCTGCTCTGAAAGCAGAAGACCTGGCTCAGCATTTACTTCTCTGCAGCTCAGGACCTATCTGGACACTATGATAAACAACTGGTTGATTTAAAGATTAGTCAGTTTCAGAAACAGAGACGTTAATTAATAATATTAATTAATGACAGCCTAGGACTGGGACTAGGACAACTGTTGTATCAAAACCATACTCAGACCAAACTTTGTACTGAGAAACACTGATTGTGAAGAGAAACCAGTGCAAATTCCAGGAAAACATGGATCATCTGAGCTCCTCACAGCAACAGTAGTCAAAGGTCAGAGGTCAGAGGGGCTTGACAGTAAAAGTCATGCCTGTCTCACCAGACTAATCCTGCATGGTGCACAGGAGTTTCTGTTTTAGCACAGATAGGAAGAGGTGTAAATAAAAAACAACTTACCAAACACATCAGCTGGACACAGCAGGGTGTGATGAGATGTCAGAAAGGAGAAAAAAAAAAAAAAGATACAGATGATTAAATCCTCTCATCTCTTCATACACTCTTTAAATACCACTAAATACTTAATTCTAACATGAAGACCACTAAGCGTTTAACTACAACTGACTCGTACTAAAATATTCCCAGGTTTCCAACTCTCAAAAGTGTGTGTTGTTACAAACATCAGTGTGATTTTAAAGCATCAGTGTCACAGATCCACAACAAAATGATGCTACTTAAGTAGCATTTTTCATAAGTGACTGAACAGGTCGGGTTTACAAACCTTTCTTTGCTTTCTTCTGCAGTTTCAGAGTGTCTGAAGATCTCTTCTTGATCTCCTGACGGGCCTTCTTGTACTCTGGAGAGGAACACACAGATAGATGAACACAGTGTGGAAAGCGTGCACCACCACCGCTGCATTAACAAAGCCAAGTATCCCCAGCTCAGTTTTCACATTTGTTACATTTTGCAGAAAATCCTACAGGATTCAAATGGTTCAATTATCTGACAATTTGACAGAATTGAGGAAAACATAAACCTTCAGTGTATCTACGTTTTAAATCACTAAATTTGGAGTTACTTGTTTTCAATGTGCACCGCCAATATGCAAATAGATGGGTGAATAAACACCAGTGTGTGTCCATAATGTCACACGGATACAAGCTACGTGCCTATAGGTGTGCGTGCCCATTTGTTGTCTGTGCTACAGTGTGTTTCTATGTGAAAATCTGTGTCTGTTTGTGTGTTTGTACCCTTGGCATGGTCTTTGTCCAGAGTGTTGGCGACTCTCTTCCACTCCTCCATCTGCTCCTGCAGAGGGTTGATCAGACAGTCCAGAAACACCCTGGAAACAACACACACTGTTTGAGCTGTGTGCGTGCGCGTGCTACCAGGCTGAATCGCTAATGAAGTTCCTAACTGACAAAACATATCTAAAAGCCTGCAGACTGGACTCACATGCACATGGAATATGATATCGACAGGACAGCCGGTGCTGTGTCAGGGGCAGAGTGAAGCCTGGAAGGTTCATCTAGCCATCAGCTTGGGCTCCAAAAACTAATTTATGGTCATAAACTTTTCCCAGTAACATGAAGTCTAAAAAAATGTTACAGCTAAAAGTGTCCAAAACGAGTTTCCTTCTCCTGATGTCTGAGATGACCTTCATGCAAGGAGCAGACAATACATATGGGTGCTAACATTATCAGTTCATCTTCTGATGATCTTCTTGGTTAATCAATAACTTGTTTGGCCTAAATGTCACAAAATGACAACACAGTGCTACTCAGTGTCCCACAGCCCAAGTTAACTTCTTCAAATGTACTGTTTTATCCAGTCAGCAGTGATCACCTGTATGATCTGTAATAGTGATCAGATTTAGGTGATGAATGTCGATGACCACGGCATCTAAAGCAGGACCGCCTGCATCGTAAATGGTGTCGTGGCCTCATAAGGCAAACAAGACACTGAAGGTCCAGATACAGTGTAGACTGCAGCAGCTGTCTGCGAGCATTGAGCATTCAGACATGTCTGTAGATGCAAAGAGTCAGAGGTTGTTAGCTCTGGTCTGCACATGGATATGGACTGACGACCAGCCACACAGATGGAGCATCAGCTGATTTTTTTATATGACTCACACATGGAAAAAAAATAATAACTGCCCAACACTGGCTTTTATACCAGATGCTCCACAAGTCAGACGATGTTGTTATCAGCCTGCTGCTGTGTATTGTGATCCCAGTCTGGATGAGGGCAACACAAATCTGGAAGAAACAATCTGGCCCAGGAAGATGTGGTGGAGGACAAGGATCTGGGATGCTCTGTGGCAGAAACTGGATGGATGTTTGTGCACGTTGCTGCATCATCCAACCGACTGTAGCCCGCTGACATCACCGGCTACACTGCATCGCTGTTTACTGACTCAGCTGGATGTCTCGTTTCTTTTCAGTCTGAATGACTCTCTCCCTCCACACTGGGAGAGTTAATGGGCTCGAGGACGGAACAGAAGACGAAGAAGAGGAGGAGGAAGTCGGGGCACGAGGAGAGAATGTGAGCAAGGACAAGAAGATGAAGAAAGGGAGGAAGAGGAGAGAAAAGAGGCTGGTGGCAGAGCATTGTCACCACAGGAGGCATATTAACATACACATGAGCAGAGAGCAGACCCCGCCACCTCAGGACGCAGCAAATAGGAAGACAATAGTAAAAAGGCAGCGTGATGAAGAGGATAAACAGGTCCTAACGAACAAAACATGCAGTAAAATGACTTTAATCTTGAGATGAGTGATAAAGAAAAAGATAAATCATGATATCAAAACTGATCAGTCAGATGTAGCAAAGACAAACAGAGCAAGATGGAGGATGGACAGCTGGAGGAGGAGGAGCAGGTTGCCATGGAGAGCTGCTACACCTGTTCATCTCTCTCTCTCACACACACACACTTACTCACATGGAGAACTGGCGGAGTTTGGCCTCGATGCTGCGGTGCCTCATGCACATCCTGGTGAGGGCTGAACCGATGTCCCTTGTCCCTCCTGAAAACAAACACACACACACACACAGTCTGTTAGTCACATTCCAGCAGATCGCTGAAAGCTGTGAACAGAAACAAAAAGGGAACTCTTCATCAACACAATTAAACCCCTAAAAGTGCGCTGTGTCAGTGCGTGTCCTCACAGCTGCAGAAAGACAACTGTGTGAGTGTGTCTTGCTCAAGGACACTCTAGCGAGGTGGAGATGAGTCTTTCCGAGCCGACTGTCAACGCAGCAGAAGCTCCACGGGCACCTGAAAGCACCAGATGGCTGTCCTCCCTCTCCCCCTGGGGGGAGTCCGACAGACCTCACCCTGTCAGCCTGGAGCTCTGACACATGCTAATGTTTGAATCCGTGCACTTGTGAGCACCTTCGATAACCACATTCATTCTCAATCTCTCACCTGAACTTCTCATAAATTCTTAAAAGCAGCTCTTAAAATAAGATGTTTGGTTTCAGGAATCAATATCTCACATCTCATTAACATCCAGTCTGGACCACATTAATAATGGTGAACTGTTTGGGCTTGGAGTGAGGGATCTTCACAAGCACAGTATACAAGTGTGTGGGGGCAGGGGGTGGGGTAATGAGCACTGCATTGCAGCACTGACACCTCCTCTCTCCTCTCTGCACATCTTCACTCCCTTCTCTCCTCCTCTATTTTACAACTTCCCCGTTATTTCTCTCCTCCCTATTTCTGCAGCAGTCAGACTTTAAGAATACTCAACCAGAGCGTCAGAGACCTGAAGACCCGTCCTGTCCAGTCGGAGGGAGCCTGAGAGGGTCTGCAGGAAGAATGGCCTAAAATGCCCAAATCCAGGTGTGCACAGCTGGTAGAGACTCACCCGAGAAGACTTGGACCTGTAACTGCTGCCAACGAGGCTTCTACAAAGTACTGAAATAAGGCTCTGAGTACTTTTGTAAATGAGAAATTTGAGTTTTTAATTTTCAATAAACATGTTTTCAGTGCCGAGTGGAGCTTGACGGGCAAAGATGTCAGTTTTACCCAGTGTTTCCAATACATTGACCTATTTGTAGCGGGCCGCCACATATCGATTTGAAAGGTGTAAACTGTTATTTCAGAATAGTACCGTGCGTAGTATTCATTCAGTCCCTATGATTCTCTCTCACAAGATTAACTGTCTTCTTTTGAAGCGAAGGGGCAGTGGCTTTGCTACAAATTCCCACTGAATGTCCAAACTCTGCACCCAATGCCAAAGTCTGAGCCCAACCGCCTGACAGAGGAAAATGATTTCTCATATTCGCAGTCACCACACAAAGCTCGTGACCATAGATGATGGCTGGAACACAGATCGACAGGTAAACTGATATTTGTCTTCTGGCTCAACTCTCTCTTCCCTACAGTACAACACTCACATTAGCTCTGACACTGCCCCAACCCTTTTAAGTTTAAATCAAAAGAAGTGAAGGGATCTGAATATGCTCTGAGGCCACTGAATGTTGGGTTGCTGCTTCTCATACAAGGGAACCAAAGACTTTCTCCAGCTCTGGCTGAAGCACATCTTGGCCTGTTTGTGGTCTTGTTGGACTGTTTCTGATTTTTACATCAGATTCAGATGATATATTGTTAATATAGAGCCTAAACATCCAACAGAGCAACTGAAGGGGACGGACTCTACTAGTTTACTTCTTGCTACTGGTTTATGGTGAAATCATAATAAAAATGCTTTAAACTATTCCTTCACTTCTTCACAGACATCTTTCAGGACTCTGCTGCTACCAACATGATTTACTTAATATGGTTTTTGGCCCTTGGCAGCCCCAGGACCTACCCCCACTATGCGTCTTCACCCAAACATCTAGACACAGTCTCTCCACACTCCTAACCCCATCTTCTCATCCCTTTTCTCCAGACTTCATCCTCCACTCTCATTTTTTCCTTCTTGCTTCACTCACATCCTTTTCCTCCTCCTCCTTCCTCTCTTCTCACCTTCAGACGAGGTGTTACCACCTCACTTCTCACCTCGTCACCTCTCTGCTGCACCCTTTTATACTCCTCACCCAGCAGAGCAATGTGGAATACACTGTAGACAGAGCAATCATTTCACTGAGGCACCACAGTGTTTCGGCCTGCTTTTAAGGGACGGGGTTATTCAGAATGACACTATTTATGCTCCTAGTGGCCAAAACCTCTCTCTGGAAAAGATTTTTTTTTACAAAAAGTTGCTAAGGCGACATCCAAATGAGCTCCGTTTCAAAGGCTTGTATGAGTCATGCTCAGAAGCTGCACCCCGGCATGGTTTCTACTCATTTTAATGCTGCAGGGCATGAACAAAGACATACAAAGGGCACAGTGCAGGAAACATGTGCACGGTTATCAGGTTACTAGAGCTTCCAGGATGAAACTGTCTCCCCAGACCTAGTTTGAGTTTCCTGGGCAGGCTTCCACAGACTCTGTAGGGCCGGGTCCCTCGACCTTTCCCAACCCTGTACGGACTCCAGCACTCAGAGAGAGAATGAATTATTTGTTTTGCCACCACAGAATTTTTACTGCTTTTATTTTTAGGAGTCAGTGCCAATAATATTAACTGTTCAGGCCAAGAGCCACAGTCGTTGAAGCCATGGAAGCTACTTTCAGAAGTGACACTGTTTGGATTCCGCTTTCAGGAGCCTGAATGGAGCTCCAAATGAGTTGAACAGAATTATTTACGTACTGTTTAAAACCTACCCGTGTTAGGACTCTGGCACCACTGTTGCTGTGTACGTGGTGACCCCACATCAGGGCTGAGCCTCCAGCTTGGAAACTCGAGCTTTACGCTGAGCAGAGATGCAGAGTGGAACAAAGGAAGATGACTGCTTAAACAAAACTGCTGAGTAAATGTAATCGGACTCAGTTCAACATGATGGCATTCGCTCCTGTGCCAAGACGCTGCCTGGACAAGTTTTCCACAAATACACAAAACCACACTCAGGATGGGTTTCTGCTAAATCCACCTGAGCTCAGCTTCAGTTTTACTCTTTACATGTCACCTAGAGTTAAAAACAAGCCGAGTTTTGTGCTGACACAATGAGCAAGAGCTTCCTGGTAGCACTGTTCCTGCAGGGTCACAGTCAATCAATTCGTTCCCATTCAATTCAGCTGATTGACCCAACTTCTCACACTAGGCCTGTGTGTGTCTGTGTATAATCACTGTCACTGAGACCGAGTTGACCCAATTCACTGGGACAGAGCAGCGTCTCTGTCTGATCCGCAGTCGGTTCGCTCTGATGTTAGATGCAGCTGCAGACTGAACGGCCTCCAGGCTCCACAGCAGCTCATCTGCACGTGACAATGAACACGCCCGTTTCAAAGTCCTCAGAGGAATCAGTGATCGTGTCAGCACGTAGCACACGAGCAGTCAGTCAAGGACACACCAGAAAAAAGTGTAAATATTAAAGGTAAGTCTATCAGCTGCCGAGTCCCTGAGATTTGATACCACAACACACAACATGAGGCCCAGGAAGCAACAGGGTTTTAAAATATTTTACCTTCATATTACAATACAATTCATATCTTGAGGAAAAATTTTAAGAAGATTTTGAAGATTGATGTATTTCATGGCAGGGGCAGAATTATGAGCTATTCAGTTTTATTTTTGCAACTTGAGGCCACTGTTAAATCTCTACTACCTCCCAACAACAGTCCTAGAAGTTACAGAAAAAAATCCTGACTTTGTTGTAATGCCCCCAAATCCTAAACCACTCTCTGAAACTAAGAACATCTCAGCCTGTCTGAAACATGGCAGCAGCTTTTAACAGCAGCTGCTAAAAAGAAGAGAGATGCTCCAGTTGGTTCGGGTTTGGTATCCCTTCAAATTTTGCAGTATAACTACTGGCAGGTTTTGGTACCAAATCCAAAACAATACATAAATTGAAGGATACAAACGCCTTTTTCTTTTGACAAAAAAGCCAAAGTTTTGTTCCAAGATGTGCAGGAACTGTGGCTACATAAAAGCGTAACATTGGCAAAATTTTAAAGTAGTATAATTAAACAGAATCTGACCAAGATGTGACGCCAGCGTTCAGTACCATTTGTGATAGGAGCACGTTGCAGTTGGTTTGGGGCTCAGTAATGGGCTCAGGTGTTCTGCATTTTACCAACAGCTCCCACATGAAGCTCTACAAATGTGTTCAACCTCTAGAAGATGCAAAGTTCTGACTCACTTCATTGGTCTGAAGCCTGACTGAACATGACGTCTGCTACAGCAGCAGCCATTTTCGAACTCCAGATCCTGCTCGTCTTCTTCTTCTTCACTCTAATGTTCATGACACTTTAGTAAAAGCACAAATTATTTGCTCAACCTGAAACATTTCAATTCATGCAAATGCATTTTTGTCTCAGTTTGGCCTTCAGAGATAAACCTGCATGTTTCTACAACCATCTGCTTTTATGATTCACTTGGGAGCTCAGTCTGAACACAAGCTAAACTCCACTGTCCTGAATGACCCAGAGGACACTAGTCATCTGACTGACCACCAGATCAGAGGCTATGAAAGACAGACACTAGTCATCTGACTGACCACCAGAGGCTATGAAAGACGAAAACGACTGCATCAGAACTTTTAAGGATAAATGATAAACGGGAGTAACAGGGAGCAGTGTGGCGAAAGCATCCAGACTGAATGTAACCTTAATTTAGAACCCGCACTGAGGATCCAGACCGACTTTCCAAGGCGATGACCACAAGCTCTCGATGCTGTAACCACCGTGAGCAGTAAGTGACCTGGAATCTCAGACTGGAATTTAAAGCTCCATCCAACTGGGACGTAAGCTCAGCCGTCACATTCCCACAGGAGCCGCTCCACACGAACACTGGTGGAACTGGGCTGAGGAACCGGAGCAGCTGAAGACACAAACACACACCCAGTGGACCAGCAGGGGAGGCAGTAAATCACCCTCCTGTAGCAGGACACTATATATCTTGTCTTGTTGCTACAGGGAGGAGCGACTAGAGAGCTATTTTTGAGAACTGGAGCATGAGGGAGGAAGAGAGTGGGAGAA